TTGAGTGAGCTACACTAAATAACACCAAAATAAACCAACTCTTGTTCCGAAAACTAAATGAGACTGCTCCTAGTCAAAACTAAAACAGCATCTCCTGATCACAAATATTACACCTGTGGTCATTCAGATACAAGAAAGGATACGCAATAAACAAACAGTCTACTACTGAGACTAAACTTGTCGAATCTTCCCTACGACTCACAATGACTACCCCTCGTACAACAACATTAATTAACCCTTGGCATTTAAATACACCTTCAGAGACGGTTAATTAGAAGACAAACTGCATAATACTACTTCTCAACTACATAGCTCAAAAGTCACTCAAACGAATACACACATTTACTCAAAATTGACGGAACAAATAAAAAATTACAAAAACCGATTATTCTGTAAGATTTGTCAAATCAATAAAAAAATAAATGTAACAGTAACTGTATAATTTGCTACTGTTTTTAAATTCTTTTCAATATCAATACTTCAATTAAAACTCATATTTAAATATTTAACTCAAATATTTGCTTTCATTTATCAATACATATATGAAGAACAATACATATGTCACTATAAGTACATTACCTGAAAAAACAACAATACATAATGTTGGTACAAAATACATACATTGTAATACAAATACTCTACTGTTTGTGAGACACTTTGGGGCACTATTCAAAAGGAAAAAAGTTTCATATAAATGGCAGGGAACTGGGGAAACTGAAAAAGATATGTGGCTTGGGAAAAAGGATCAAAAATCTAAAAAAATGGAAATATTCAAATGCCCCACCGATTGGGCGACAAAATTGTAACGACTATTTTGCTTACCACAGGGTAAGAATATGGGGGACAAGATTGGGCACACAAAATAATCGAAACAAGTGCATACGGACACTCAGTTGGTTGTTGGAGAGCTGGGTCGTGGATAAGTTGAAGATATTGGGGGTTGGATTGGACAACTACAAAAAAAAGAAATAAAGGGGTACTTATACAAATCTCTTGGGACAAACAGAATGAAAATTAACGGAAACACCTCAAGAAATTTAATATAGGGCGCCACTTGAGGTGCCCAATTATACCTATTACAACCACTAGTTGTAACTAGGGAAATAATTGTATATCAAAAACATAGAAAAAAAAAATATCTTTTTCAAATAAAACTCAAAATAGATCAGAGAAACAAATTAAACATTTATTTTTGTCTCACCAAACAGTTTCAAAAATACAGATTTTACAAGAACATATTATATAAACATAATACAAAAATTAGCAAAAACTTACGTGCTTATTTGTCTACAAAGGAGATTGCTATAAATATTTACAAATTTTACTGAAATATTAACTGTTGTACTGTTAATGAAACTGTGTCAGAAATAATTTATTACAAATAAAGAAATATCTTTAAAATGAAAACATTCATAGAGAGGTTAATCTTCTTTAAAAAACCAAGGCAAATTATTGTCAAAAAAAATAATAAAGTTAGCTGCTAGCTGTCAACATAAAATCTTAATCTTACTTACAACGGAGAACAAATCAAATTGAAAGCATAACCACACTCTAAGATTTACAATATTAATTATTAAAACTTTTAAATTGTATGAAAGCAATTATTATTTTAATGTTTCTTTTCCTTCAAAAGTTTAAAACAAAAAAGGGTTACCTTGGTTTCACTAAACACACTAAGATTTTTGGGGTTACCTTCTCTGCCACACGATCAAATCTATTTCCATACTGTGAGACATATTCTGGGACGGCTTCTTAGGACAAATATTACAAACTTGAGGTTAAAAATTTGGAACACAAGACTTTGGAAAGGGCTTCTTAAAAAACAGGAATACACAAAACTGGACACAACGGCAACATGTGAGATTATCTTTCGAAAATTTTTGCAGGCAACACAAATCCCTTAGGTACTTAGAAAAATGAAAATAGTGATTACTCCTTTCAAATTTGACATATTACATAGAATATAGTCTACTATTTTCAACACCTTTTAGCCGGTCTCTTTACCGACTTTCTACATTGTCAGCCGTCTGCCCAGTTTCAAATCTTTTCTTGGACTCTACATTGTATAACATCTACACCGTTTCAAATCTGTTCTTCCACTCCTTTGCTTCGTTACATTTTACAAGAAACTAGCCAAAAATTTCCCTTCCGTCTTGCAGCTAACCTCTCCACAAACTCCAGAACCAAAACAATATCCCCTCGCTCGTATCGACAAAAAAACAAATTTTAAATGTTCCTTTATTGCCTAAACAAACAAATATCCTTTTTTTGACCCTCGACTAATAACGAAAAACAACTTTAATATTAGGGGAATTCATGATTTATTGCGTTTTTAACGAAGAAAACAAATAAAACCTTTTTTTTTATCAGGGGGCATCATAAATTTACATAATACAAATTAACAAAATACGTGCGTATTTTAAACTTGAGTTTTACCTGGCTTATAACAAAGGGTTCGATATTTGAATCTAAACACAGACAAAAAAACATCTATATTTACTTTTGAATCGGTAGAAATATACGCATTTAAAAATCTCGTCAAAAAAACTTGAAATATTATTTCGATTGTTTTCTCTGGTAAAAACAACAGGGACGTAACACAGAAATCTTTTCTATACACTTAAATAAAAAAACGCTACAATGTCCATTAATAGATCATGCAATTAGTAAGTATTATTTATTTACTTCCAATGAAACCAAAATATTAAGACATGAAAACAAATTAAACAAAAGAGATTTCAAAGGGCCCATTGTTCAAACGCTACTCAAAACTTGATTGTAATCAAATGTTTAATTAAAATCAAATACGTCGCATTTTAAGGTTATGTTGACTGATTTATTTTATTACTTTGCGTTTTAATTTAAAACAAACCATAATTAAACTCGTTCTGATGTTAATTTCATGTTTTTATTTACAAATTAATAATAATAATAAGCAATTTTTAATAATTTTGACAGCTGCTGTGACGTATTTGATTGTAATTAAATATTTGATTACAATCAAGTTTTGATTAGCGTTCGAGCAATCGGCCCTTAGAAATGGTATGTATAAATAAATATGAATTTGTTAATAAAAAACTAATATTGATAAAATAAGCAATATCTACCCTGTCCCTGTATCTGTGTCTGATGATGTCCGGGTTTATCGACTGTTGCAGTTTCGCAAATGTGTCTAAACATTTGTAATATATTAACAGACTTTTTGGTAGTTTTGATTCTCCCCCTATATTTAGCAAAGACTCAGTGTACAAAAACACAGCTGTTTTAAAAACTAGACATTACAAAATGTCATCGGCAAAATGACACATACGTGTATTTGAGATAAGAGATGAGTTCCATATGCCAAATCAGACAGATGAGTTTTATCTCCCAAACGATACAAATGTGTGTATGGGTTAAGGGTAGAACGTTCTACCTAACAGTTCGCTTCGGTCTTGTGAGAAAGACAGTTCCTGGCATAGGAATGGGCTAGTTTTATTTCCTGAATTTAACCGAAGCAGAGGGTTCGCAATTCATTTGTAGCTGAAGCCATTTGACGTGGTAAAGTACAACTTATATACACCATTACATTGATGCTGATACACATGTACGTTTACTGTGTAGAATCGTTACAATATTATTCTATGATTATGCAAGTTGAAATTGTTTGTGCTAAATTATATTTCACATGATATCGCGTGTTGAATATGTTAACCGTTTGAGAACATTTTAAGTTTGTTTAAATTATCGTAGACTTTATCTTAGACTTGTATATTTATTTTATATATATTTAATATTTTATATATATATATATATATATATATATATATATATATATATATATTACAGCGTTTACATGATGAGTTTACGAATTGTATTAATTTCATTATTAATTTAATGTGTATTTTATTACTGATTGCATTTTTTGTGCCTTTTATCAAAAATATTTGTTCATTTTACCACGGTTTCGCAGCATATAAGATTTTAATTTGTAGCTCTATATTTTTTTACTCCATTTGAATGTATATTTATATATATATATATATATATATATATATATATATATATATATATATATATATATATATATATATATATATTTGTCTTTGGCTTTTGTTTGATTCTAAATAGAGTTTATATGGTCTACTCGTTTATTATTTTTCTATGGGAATACCAAAAGCGAAAGGAAGAAACCAGCGAGTTCAAGACTGGACATAATATATATTCTCTTCCTTTTTGATGCTCTCAATTGTTATATAGAGGTCATCGTATGTGCAAAACGCAACATCGACCAAGTGACCTTCTCATTGGTCATTTAGGTCACATGATCTATAAACCTGGCAAATTAGAAAGAGATGCAGGAACTACTTTGCGTAAGTTTTCTCTGTCGCATTGGTGGAACGCTGGTATTGCAACTATCAGTCAATCTTGTATATATGTCTATGGTTATAAATGCTACTAACTTAACCTAATATGCTTGTATACAGTAACAGACGGTACGAAAAAAATGGCTGACACGATTGGTGATAAAAACGCCTATTGTTAGGTTATTGTTTAGCATTAAAGGCGTTGTTTTAATATTTACAGTAAAACATAATGTTACTTTACTCTATTAAATATGACACTTTAATTAAATATTTTAACTAAAATTTAATTAAAGTCTAACAGAAATACCCTTATATGTTAATGTCTTGATACATAGGGGCCTACTGTTATTAAGAACACGCAACTGAAAACTGCTGACTTACCTAGTCACTAGGAACGTAAACATTGACAAAAAAAAAGAAGAATCCGTTAACATAATTGCTATTTTTGGGCCTAATCAAGCTTTTATAATTTCTTCTTTTAAACTTGAAACAAATCATACTCATTCGTAGTCAACATTTAGTATTATGATTTAACATAAATGGATATTGCCAATTAGACATGACAAATAAATGGATTTAATAATGCTCTATCATTCACTTAACCTACATTGAAACACGTCATTTGTTCACTCATCTTGACAGAATGTTACATGTTTAAGAACAATTTATGTCACATTTGTCAAAATCTTTCACCGTCTCACTCAAAAATGATTTAAAATAAGACATTTATAAAACAAAATTCATTAGTACCCATTCTCAGATGTTAATAAAAGTAGTGACACTAACAGGAGAGGAACGCATGCTCGATGTAGAGCCTTTAGATAAAATCTTAACAATTAAGGAGAAACTAGAAGAAAAAGAAGGTATTCCACCTTCGCAACAAAGACTGGTTTTTCAAGGAAAACAACTAAAAGATGATAAGACCGTATCTAGTTATAAATTGAAGGGAGGAACAATACTGCATTTGGTAGTTGCGTTAAGAGGTGGTATAGAAAACCAGTGATACTAACATGATTGAAATTTGGTAATATATAAAACATTAAATTTTTTATGTTTGTGTTTAATTTCTTAAGTCAAAGCAGAAGAAATACCTGCATATATAATATTCAAGCAAGACTCGGTAATTATTAATAAACAAAGCAATTTACAACATTCAATGACAATCTACAAAAAGATTTTTTTCTTTGTCTTTGTAATTTTTATGCCGTTCACTTTGTAATAACAGTTCAAAACGAAAATTTTGTGTATCAAAACTTTAACAAGGTTAAATTTAAATCCATAATTAGATCTAAAAATATGCAAAACTTTCCCAACTTTTACTGGTTTCGCGTCAAAACGATAATCTCCCAATGCTTGCAAAGTTGCAAGTTCACGGAAGGAGAGAACGATGAAGACCAAAAGTAACCTGGTGAAAAACGCAAGACATTTCTGTAAGAGAAATTAATATTCGTATAACCTAAGCTAAAAACTTTGAGGAATGTACCTAATTAGTACAACGTATAGCGATCAGGGCAAAAAAGAGTGAGGTTTAAAAAATAAACTTTTCGCTTCTTTGGATTATAGAGCAAGACTTTATCATTCTTCTTAAAACAACCCTGTTCATTTTGGATATCGTATCGCTTTTTCATTATATCGTTATCGATCTGAAGATTCTTCTTCTTATTCGAGTGCCACCTCCTCGGTGTAGGTCGGCAATCATCATAGCTATTCGGTCTTTTGAGACGGCTGCTCTGAAAAGTTCATTTGATATACATCCTTACCACTCTCTCAGGTTGCATAGCTATAACATTCTACGCCTCGCTATGCTTCTCTTTCCTTGGATCCTTCCCTGGATAATTAGTTGGAGCAAGGTGTATTTCCCTCCACGTGTAATATATCCGAGATATTCCAATTTTTTTGTTTTATTTTGTATTTAAAATTTCTACTTCTTTATTCATCCTTCTCAGAACCTCTTTGTGACGTGGTCTGTCCACGATATTTTCAGAATTCTTCTATACATCCACAGCTCTAATGATTCCAGTTGTTTCATTGATGTCGCATTTAAGGTTCAATATTCCATTCCATAAAACAAAGTCGAAAAAACATGGCACCTCGCCAACCTAACTCTTAATTCCAATTTTAAATCCCTTGTAAACAGCACTCACAAATCCCCCCCTAATGATTGGAATATTGGAATACTTTGCACCAGGCTGGTTTCAGAGGTGGTAAATCTATAATTCATCATATTGCAATCCTAACACAAATTTTGGAAAAAACACTGGAATATGGCATTGATACTCATCACATATTTATAGACTACAAAGCAGCGTACGACTCTGTGAATAGAAGAGAAATGTTTAAAGCAATGAAAGAGCTAGGAATACCAAATCAGTTGATACATTTAACAAAACTAACTCTTGAAAAAGTTAAATGTAGAGTACGAATTCAGGGGGAACTGTCTAAACCTTTTATAACAAATAATGGACTGCGCCAGGAAGACTCTCTCTCCTGTATACTATTCAATCTGGCTCTGGAAAAAGTAATACGTATGTCACAAATCACAACCACTGGTTCAATATATAATAAATCAGTGCAAATCCTAGCATATGCTGTGGATATCAATATTGTTGGGAGAACGGAAAACGCAGCACGAGAGGCGTACGTAGCACTAAAGGAAGCGGCTACAAAAATGGGTTTAATAATAAACACCAATAAACTTTGAGGGTGTACAAGGCAACTATCGAACACAGTGATTAATTTAATCTTGCCCAAGTACTTTCGATCAATAGATCATCTTCAGGGGCATTTCGTCAATTGTGGCCTATCCGACATAGTCGGATTGACGAATTGACGAAATGCCCCTGAAGATGATCTATTGATCGAAAGTACTTGGGTAAGATTAAATTAATCACTGTGTTCGATAGTTGCCTTGTACACCCTCAAAGTTTAATTATTCGAACATTCAACCTTATATTGAAACACCAATAAAACCAAATACATGAAAACAGGTACGCAACCACAAATACTACGGCCACTTGTTATAGAAAACGACGTCATCGAAGCAGTTAACGAATTTGTATACCTGGAAACGCTCGTCAATGCTGAAAATGACACTACCGCAGAGGTAAACCGCATAATTTGCACGGCCAACAGATGCTATTTTGGGCTCAATCTGCACCTTAAATCCACAATTATATCGAGAAATACAAAAATAAAACTCTACAAACCAATAATACGACCAGTCCTAACATATGGTTTAGAAACCTGGACTGTAACAAAAAATAATGAAAACATGTTAGGATGTTTAGAAAGAAAAGGAGTAAGGAGAATCTGTGGAGCAGTGAATGACAATGGAGTGTGGAGAAGACGATGCAACTTCGAACTTTAGAATATACCAGGACCCTGATATCGTAAAACATATTAAGATAGGACATCTAAGGTGGATAGGACATGTAATGAGGATGGAACAAAATGATCCAGCTAGAAAAACGCTCCTTGATAGACCCATTGGGCAGAGAAGAAGAGGGAGACCCAGAAGAAGGTTCCTTAATATCATCGATGAAGACATGAGAAATATGAGAATACGTGCTTGGCGGAGAAACGCGATGGATAGGGACGACTGAAGAGAAATTATTGAGGAGGCTAGGATCACGCAGGGTTGTAAAGCCAGAATGATGATAATGATGATGTACATAGCACTCTTCCCATTTTGTTGAAATTTGCTCCAGTATTTTTTTATTCTGATTTTAATCTCCTGAATGTAATCATTTGTGGAGTTAATCATTGTTCTCAGATATGCATATTTGCTCACTTGTTCGACGTTGGTTCCGTCGACCTGAAGATGGGAACGGACAAACTCGTGTATATCGTCCATTCTTCTTCGTAATTTGTTCACATAATCTTCACCAGCTACATCTTCTCCAGGTCCACATCCAAACTTTAGATCACAAAGACTTTTTCTGTTTGGCACGTTAATTCCTTAACAGAGGATCTGTAGGCCATTGCAAATGATGGAAGGTACTGGTAAGAGTCTCGTTGGTGATTGGACACTATTTTTGCCAAATACTTGCCAACTGTCTTATTCGTTTGCTCCACTACTCCATCCGATTGCGGGTGATAGGCTGTAGTTCTTGTTTTTTAATGCCTAGTCTATCGCAGATTCCCTGGAATAGACTGTTCTCGAAGTTCTTTTCTTGTCACTATGGACCTTCTAAGGCATCACAAATCGGCTGATATACTATTTGATCAATACATCGGCAATAGTGGCGGTCTTCTGGTCTGGATTGCATAGTTCTGGACCCGCTTGACCCGAAATGACCTGGCAATGCCCAAAGCTATTTTTTCAAATGGACTTCCAACATTGTATTGTCTCACAGGAGTCTTTTTTCGGTAAGGTCCGTTACTCGTAGCACAGGTAGTACATTTCTTACACCAGACCTTTACATCATCAGAACTAATCATCTAATAAAATCGTTTCCGAATTGTCTGACTGGTTTTTTTTACATCTAAATGCCCTCCTGATGGACTATTATGTAACTGATGAAGTACTTCGGCTACTCTGCCCTTTGGAATCACCAACTGTGTTCTCTTCTCGGAGCCATCATCATTTCCCAGAACTTGTTTAAGCAAGTCGTCTTCCACGATAAATGAGAATTGTGTGGTGATGGTAGCAAAAAGGACGAGGTATGGTACAAGTGTTCGATATGTTGTCAATGGGCTCATGCCATGTGTACAAGAAAGGATAGTCCAGAAGGATATATTTGTGACTTCTGCGATGCTTAGATTTTTAAAATATATCTTTATCATTTTTTTAGGTCATTTTTAAGTTTTATTATTATGCACAGTTATCCGACATAAGCGCACTATTAGCCGAATAGGTCGGGTAATTGTGCGCGTTACATTAATTGAAAATTTCGCTTCTCACAGTTCTACTGTTCAATCATTTTTTGAATGCGATACCTACCAATATACCTAGGACTTTAAAGTATATCTTCAAAAAAGTTGGAAACTAATTTTTTTTAAGTTTTTGCAATATCCTGAATTAGCCTTAGATGCGCACCAATAGCCGACTCTCCCCTAATACATTGTTAGATTTGATCAAATAAATATGAGACCAATAAGTTCTAAGCTCGAGATTTATGTCTTTATTAAAAGATGGAAAGGGTTTTTTAAACTTGACCGACCTTTTTCAATCTTGTGTGAGAAGAATTTGCAGCATTTCATCAGCCACAAACAAATTCCATGGTTCAAGTATTAAAATCAGAATTTCTTGGCAGAATTTTTGAATTACACATGCAGATGTTATTGCAGAAGGGTAAGTCATACGGACTTGTACACACTCCTCATCTCATATGTAGACCCCAAAGGGAAATGTTAAATGCCCATTTAAAAGCGCTTGCTCTGATAGTTTAATAATATACAGAGTGAACTGTGAATTTTGACTGAATTTATTTTGGTCATAACTTTTGAAGAGTAATTCCGGTTTGCCTCATACTTTTAACATCAGTCTTCCAAATGTCCTTCTCTTCCGTCAGATGATACTTTGGAATCGTCGCCTTGGTCACTCGATTTAAATCCATGTCTTTCGGTAAGATGCGTGTCGTTTACTATTACTGTTTGCATTTAGTTGTTAGAAATATATTCATATTAATAACTCTTAATATAAAAGTCAACACTTGTATTTTGTGTCTGAAAATGTTATTTAAAAAAACAGTGAAAAGAAATTTCAGATAAACTTATTTTGAAATAATTGTCCATATAATATCTGGTGGTTATAGTGGTATTGGGTATAGAGGTGGTTATAGTGTTAGCTTTTATAGCTCTTGACTTTAGGTATCGATATTATAGATAACATCAAATAACCTTTGAAAATGACAACCCAACGATTAGTGTCAAATTAAAATTCCTGTAAAACTGAAATTCCAAATCTAAATTCTAGTAGCTAACAATAAAAGTTAAGAAATCAATGAAACTAAGAATCAAACCTGTAGCTGCAGCAGAAGAAGTCATAGAGGTAGACCCCACAGAAACAATAGAGAGCATCAAATTAAAACTTGAAAATATATTTACAGA